AGTGCCCATAAGCCGCACTATGTCAGAAAAAACAGACAGAACCATCGAAAAAGCACTAAGGCCCTTATCTTCCAAGTTCACATCCGACAGTGGACGAAAAGCAAGGGACGGAGAGACACTGCGGGAGTGGGCGAAATCAGAGACAAAGGGATTGCCTTACGATGGGCGGAGTTACTATGGTGGACAAGAGGCTCGTCACTCAGCAATGGACGAGAAGCAAGGGACAGAGAGACATTGCGAGAGTGGGTGAAATCAGACAAAGGGATTGCCTTACGATGAGCGGAGTTACTATGGTGGACAAGAGGCTCGTCACTCACTTCCGTGCCACAAATGTAGCACGATTCCTGCAGTTGCAGGGGAGGGCATTTCAGCTTTCGGTAGTTTGTTCTGCAAGCAAGGGACGGAGAGACACTGCGGGAGTGGGCGAAATCAGAGACAAAGGGATTGCCTTACGATGGGCGGAGTTACTATGGTGGACAAGAGGCTCGTCACTCACTTTCGTGCCACAAATGTAGCACGATTCCTGCAGTTGCAGATCGGGCTGCTTCATACAAGGAAGGCATTACCAGGTGATCGCGAAATGTGTCTGTAAGGAAACATGCTCAGTTTGGCCTTCTCTGATAATCCTAATACTTGCACCCGTGGCAGACCAAATCCCTTCGGGGTGTGGGAGGATCGCGTTGCGGCGACAGATAACTGCGGTGTTCCCAGTTTAACAATTCTGCGTTAAACTAGTTAGGTCCTGATGGGAACGTTGGCCCATGTTTCAACGTGGATTTCTTAGGCTGCGTTGATACGTTGCGGCACCATCCACCAGTCGCTAATGCTCCCAGACTTTCGGGACGCTATGGTTGGAAGTACACGCTGGTGCACACTGCCGCAAAGTATGAACGCGGCCTGAAGAACAGCTATTCTTGATATAACCGCAGTCTGGCGGTGCCAGTGTTGGAAAGAGATCGAGGCGATCTCTACTAGTGTGTTTTCTATCTCAATCGGTCACTACTGGTGGAAAATGCAGCTGCGGGTGGGCTCATTTTAGATGTCCTGACACCGCCCCGCAGGACTGCGACCATATCATCTGTAACTTCTCTGTGAACTCTGGACAGAGAAACTTTGGAAGGTCTTACCGCTTTTTTCTTTGGGACAGAGAAACTTTGGAAGGTTTTACCGCTTCTTTCTTACACTTGGAAAAACGTATATGACTTTCTCTACTTCTTCCTACCCCGGAGAGCCGTAAAGACAATAGGAAGCTTTGAAATGTAAATAATTAGGTGACTAAGGTTTGCTTTTAGCCCTCTGTCTGTTTTGCATTAATTTGTTTTCTAGAGCTGTTTATACAAGACATGATTAATTACCCACTTCATTTAGTAGTCAAACCACATTCATGGAAGAGGCTTGGGGAATGAGTAATATACTGGTTCGTGAGATAAAAACGAAAACGAGCTTTCTGGTAAACTGATACAGACTACGTCGTACGTCGGGGAATCCCCGAGGGCCGCCAAAGTTCTATACAACTACTATTGCTGGTAGTTGTAACTAGTAGTTGGTTGCTGACGACTCGGAGCAAACTGCTCGAAGCAAACTTCGGGTAAAAACCGGAAAATTCTCGGGGACTTCCGAGAAAATTGGAAAAAGTGGTGGGAAGTTGAGAGGGAAGTCTGGGAAAGTGGTAGGGTGTAGGATGTAGGATGGGGAAGGGAGGGGTCGCATTAGAGGATGGAATCAGGGAAAGGGTCGTATTTCCTAGAAATTTTCCAGAGCGACAGTTGTGCGCTGGTCTGATTAGGCACAAGGGAACAGGCCTGATTCCGCCCATGGGTTAACGTCTCATTGATCTCGAGATAACTTTCTTGTGATTTAGTAGGAAGTAGCCACTGAATATCCCCTTGGAAATGCAATTCATCCATCCTAAACAGTGGCTTTCTAATATGTAATTTATGTGATTGTGACTTGGCACAAACCTCATTTGCGAATTTATTTGGATTAGCGACAGCCACACTTTTAGAGGAACATTGCCGTCTTTCATACAAGTGTAATAAGTCTTTATCCAGCACAAAACAAGATGACCGTTGTCTGAAATGGAAATATTCACAGCAAACGGCTCCTACGTCTTTTCGAAATGGACCGCACAGCCACCACTCCCCCCTCTCTCTCTAAAGGTACAACGGAGTGTATGGCCTATGGCAACCAACCAGATCAAATGTTCATACACATATTTACCCATGGCTTTTCTCTAGGTACAATATACGAAGAACGCGCATGGCGCAACGCATGTCCCATGTGAGCTCGTCCCAAGTGGAATTCAAAAGTGATCCACATGCTGACTTTTGAATGTTACCCTGTTTAACTTAGCAAAATAGCTTTATCCGTTTCTGTTAGTGGTGCTTATAGGAAGTCGTAACATCTTCCCACACTCTTGAGCCTTTCGGACTTTTTCCACGACAACGAGCACTAATGTTTGATGCGGGTAATTGGGCGTGTCGGGGGCTGGATTTGGCGCAGCGCCTGCGCGTTCTCCACCAATTGTTGAAGCGAGCAAGCTACAACAATTGGTGGAGAACGAGCTGGTGCCGCCCCAAGCCAAGGCCCTTGACTCGCCACAGCATCCGCAGCGAACAAAGTTGCAGGTAGGAGGTACGATACCACCAGCGACTGAGCCATTGCATGTCTTGCCTCGTCCTGGTTTGCCTTGTTCCTGTTTCTTAGCCTTGAAAGGCCGTAATCTCACATTGCGTTGTTGGGGGGAGGGCGCAGACGAGCAGACAGGAGACGATAGCATGATCCCAATCTCATGGCAGCCCCCCCCCCCCCATGCAGCTAACCTGCTCGTCCTTTTACTACTCTTGATCTAAAAATCTTGTTATGAACCACAAGAGATTATAGAGAGCGTGGCTCGGCTGTTGTTGTGCTCGACCATCGGCCTAAGTCGCACTTTCAGTTCCGATTTCCGATTTTCGCGCTAGGATGCTACATAGGAGATTTATGTATTGTCTACGACTTTATACTTTTGAACAGGAATGGGCCAGAAGGATAAAATCGGTCACTCGACTTCAAAACAAGGTCGAAACAGGAGTTCCGAGTTCCGATTTTTGATTTCCGACGGAAGTTCCCCGTGCAGCAACACAAAACAGCTCACACGGCTGTCAGCTGCACACGTGTCACATTCTCGTAGTTGACAAATAAACATGCTGAAAGAAAGCGGCAGTGATCGCGTATTAATGGCAGATAGCGGTCGAGTGTGTATGACTGCGTAGTAGAGAGGCAATTCCATCGTAAATGCATACGCCCAAACACGGGGTTTTCATAGAACATATTGTTTTCCGGGTACTTTTTCTTAGGCTGAAAATTAGTGCAATAATGGTACTTCTACTGAGTATTCACAAAATGTAAGTAAACCATCACGGGGTCCAACAAGGGGTTCTAGGCCACGGCACATTATCAATTTGCACAAAATTTTTGCAAAATACGATCTCTCCCTCCAAATTCGCTCCTCTTTTACGACCTACCTTCCCACGAAAATATTTTCTCAACTTTTTTCAAAAACTCTGTATCGATTAAAACCTCCGATCGAGTATCAGAAATAGTAATTTGCGGCACCGTCAACGAAAGTGGGTTCCGTGGAGGAGGATAGCCCACCTGAATGGGAAAAATCAGCAATTCGATAGAAGTTTTCTCAGGCCAAATACGACCGCCTCCCTTTGAGGAGAATTTTCCCGAGTCGCAGGACAATTCTTCCAGTAATTGACTCTTTCAGTTTTTTCCGTTTCATGTTCGCTATATATACCCTAGTTGTTGGTGCAGTTAATGGTTGTGTGGTGATGGTCCCCTCACCCTTCTCCCACTTCACCCCATCCCTCCCCAAATAGCAGCTAAATTCTTGAAAAGCTGGGAAAGGTGACAGGAAGTTGAGAAATTTGGGAAGATGGTGATAAGGATAGTGAAGTGTGGGAAGCATACCAAATACGACCCCGCCTTATGTTATGTTTCACGGGAGACGGGCAAGAGAATCGTGATTTGCCGCTCCGCCGCGCGCGGCGATGAGAACGGCTTCTCTTAACTTTTATTAACCTGTCGATTGGAGCTTCATGTACACCCCGTCATTGTAGACATTCATGACCATTTTCGGTTCTGAATTGCCTGTTGTCGCCATCTACTACTGTAACCATCGTCATTTGCGGGCGCGACGTCGCACGCGACGCCCACAGCGCGGCAAATTACGATTCTCTTGTCACATACCCATTTTCAAACGCCTTCTCCAGTTCAAAAAAATGATTTCAGTTACCATTCAACGAACTGCAATCAAAAACACTCATGCTGACTGTGTATGACTATGATAGATTGTCGAAAGACGACAAAATGGGAGAATTATCGATCCCACTGGAAACGATCGATTTTGGCACTACAACAGATATTTGTCGATATTTATGCAAACCTGAGAACGACGACGATGTAAGTCTTTTAGGAATTTCTTTTGCTGTTTACTCGTTCAGAGGTTCTCGAAAGATCAGTGATTACCCATGTTTACTATTTCTGGACGAGGAGAAAATATTCAATTTGATGAAAATATTTTCCAACGGGGTTGGTCTTCATGCATTTTATAGTATCGATCTTTCGCTACGTTATCGCTGGATGCGCATTTAGTCATATCTCTAAGAAAAGATACACAAAAAAGGGGTGGTTAACTTCTTTGAAAGAGGAATTTTTGTTACTTTCATGGCGCAGTCGTACGGGGGGCATTTTTCTTCCCATCGATATGTCGACCCATCTAGATAGCCTCTTTGTGAGTTGACACGTTTTACCATGGTGGCTGGACGAGCTTGCTCCACCTTCACAAGAGTTCACAAGTTTCACCAAGGAATAAGACTTGTAAACCGGGAAAGTGAATCTGTCGAAGGTGCAATATGCCGCCCCCCCGTCGCCGAAATGCGCCTTTTACATTTCTTCGTTTCACAACTGAGAAAGAACTCCCTACAAGGGCATGAACAAGGCCCTTTCTATTCTGACTGCGGGCTATGACGACAGGGAGAGCGGCTTGCTCTACAGGACCCCCTTTCTCCATCAACTGCTTCCAGCACACGGCTTATCATGGCTCCATGGAAAATTGTTGCAAAATACGGCCCTCTCGAAGTTCGGGAAGATCACCCCTCTGGCACCCTTATCCAAATTTCCCAAAAAAATTGCCAGGGCAAGGAAGGGGAACGGATTGGGTGTGTGCCCTGTACTGGTAACCTGGAACTGCACAAACATGTACTTCCTCATATCTCCCTCTAGCCAGTATTTTCCGGGTTCCGGAAAAAAATCCTTGATAGGGAAAGGAGTGGGAATCCAGGGAGGGGTAATTCCCTTTACTCTCTTTCTCAAAGTGCAACGCCCTTCGATAATGGAGCACCCCGAAAAACCACAGCATGATCCTCGTAGAAGAATCCTCATTCACACTGCCCCTTTAAGAAAATCCAATTTTCAATTTGCTGTTATTCTGAGGGGCTATGAGTAGTCTTTCACCTGAAGAGTGCATTCCTTGTACTCTTCAAAACTAACTTCAATCAATTGCAGAATGATTCAATTTGGCGTAAAGCCGTGTTGAAAGGAAAGGGCAGTGTGATGAAAAAGCTTTGTCCAGGTTTCCGGAGCTTCTTTTCTTCTTTATTATCTTCCCATGAAGACATCAGAAGAGAGGGAGGGTAACGGTGGTGCGTTGGCTAGGGGAGCCGCTTAGCACGCAGGCCCGAATTCGTGTGTCAAATTTGAGGGCAACCCCTCCCCCCCCCGTACCTCCTCCAGGCCACGAAGTCGCTTCAGTCAGTGGCTACATTGGATGCTAAAGAACTTTTTACTAGGGAAGTACCACTCATACCTTCATTGCTTCAAAACCTTTTCCATAATTTTAAAATTGTATTTGGAATAGAATATATAATGAATCACTACTATTATTTTATTTTCGAACAAAATTTCAAAATTAACACTTTGCGGACCGCCGTTCTGCGAGGATCTCCTCATCGTTTTGTCCTTTTTTAACATTGTCAAAAAGTGAATTTTATCCGTTTTCCACCTTTCGAAAGAGGTATTTGCTCTCCTTCTCTCGAAACATGAGAATTTTCAATACGAAAACAGTTGTCAAAGAGACCAGCGCATAGATGACACACCATGTGTGCCACGCGGTCCGGTATGTGCTAAAAGCGAAAATGATGGGAAAAGTAGCATTCTTTCGGCGAAAAACTTCACTTCTCGCTTCAATATGCCTGTTTTGTTCTCTAGCCATTTTATCTTTATTCAAAATTGTGCCTCGCTCACCACAGTTTTGAAAAATGTCCTTAAAAGTCTGAAAAGCATTTTTTTGATTTTTTGTGAAGTCATCTAAATGAAACTGAATTGAATGCTCTCTAAACTCTTCATTCTGAGAACAATTCCCACAAGAGTACGCTTTTACGCGAAAACGAAATTAAAATAATTACTTTCACGCGATGAACTGATGAGAAAAGGATTCCGAAGATTTCCTGTGAAATGGAAGGTTGTGAATCGAT